TAAATTATATGTCATTTGCCAATGTCAGCATGTGTGGCTTAACTCCTAACGTCGTTGATCTGAGCATGGAAGCAAACGCTATAGCACTCAAGTATCTCAGTGAAAACCAGCTATCTCGACTGTCTCTCAGTCGCTCAGGCCAAAACCCTCCTGCAGATTTCTCTTTCCAAGACATCTTGCATTCAAATACGGACAAGAGCATGGTGGGTCTTAGCTTAATTTCACCAAACAACATGTCCTTTGCAACCAAGAAGTACATGAAGCGATATGGGCTGATACAGGGCAGCGACAGCAGTGAAGACGAAGAGGAGCTGCAGGTTCAGGATGGCAGTTCTGGCACTGACAAAAGAGAAAGCGTGCCAGGCAAAAACTGTGCCCCTGTGTTGGACAGCCTCAGCCACTGGACTGAATTGTCCAAAAGAATTGATGGAAGACTTCCCATTCACCTGAAAGGTCACAGCAGAGAGTTGACTATGAATGCTTCTCCACCAGAATTAAACAACCCTGTATTAAGAAATATTGCAAATGAAATTTTTCCTCCCAGAGCAGATCAAGCAGATGAAAACTCAGTTCAGTTCTTAAAGGATTTAAAGTCGAAAACCAAATTGCTACCTGGGAGGATTGAATTCACCAAACAGCCTGGTGGGAAAGATGGAGATACTCAGGTGTTCCCTGGAAATCTGCATACTCCAACCCTTGAAACCTTAAACCAGTCAAACAGCATAAATTCTGTTGGCACCATTCTTGATGTGAAACAACTCAGGCAGTTGCCAAAGTTGTTCTGAACATCCCCTGAGATGGCTGGCAACCACTGTTACAAATCAGAGGGACCTCTCTGTGAAAGATAACAGGAAACCATGGATTAAGCTGTCTTGGAAGAGGTCCCTCTGCTGCAGCAGTGTAAAACTTTGCAGAGCTGAGTTTTCAGCCCAGGTCAGGGACAACCACCTCTAAGTGCCTGGCTGAGGCAGTGCTGGTCAGCACTGACACATGTGTGCACTTTTGTTTACAGTTAGGTGTGATTTTTAAAGCATATGAAAACCTGAGCCCAAGATATACTCTTAATATAATTTTAACAGTGGTTACTTAAATGTTTTTCTGTTGACTTTTTAAAAACACTGATTTTTACATGTTTGTGCCAGCTGTGAGCCACTGATACTGTGTGTGGCAGAGCAGGACAGAGCTAAAGCACTAATTTCTAGAAATTTGCTTAAGTGGTTGTATTACTGTGTGTGGGTTGTGTCTGGGGTGGGAAAGGGAAGTATAACTGTGGCGTTACTTTGCATAAAATTATCTTGAATTTAGCCAAAATGGCACATGTAACTTTCTGTATCATGAAATCTTTGAAGGAAATTGGGGAAAACTAGCACTTTTTAAAAACTTTTTTTGTGAATTTTTTTCCTCCCCTCCATGTTTTCTATTTATTTAAAATTACATACTTCTTATAAATGTCAGAGGTTTCATTAAAAAAAATTAATTAATCTTCAGCTGTCTGATGGTGCCTTTATTTAAGACACATGCAGCTCCCCAGTCACTGTTAGAATGGTTAACTGGAAGTTCACTGGTTCACCTGCTCCTGAACTAAAGAATTCCGATACTGGGTGGTGGGGTAAGCGAAAATAATAGATTTACTTCGCTCTGAGTTAATATACAAATGTTCTGTCATCAAGCACTACAGTCTGTCTGTTAATGAAACAGCTCTTTTCCGTAACCACCTGCTGATGATATTCCACAAGGTGAAGAAGTTGGTTATTGTTATTGCTTAACAGGTCCATTTCTGTTATGACTCTGGTCCAGTTTTGAGGTGTCATAGGCCTTTCTGTGGTTAGCATGTGTTGTCCCTGGTGCTGAAGCCCCCCTGGGTGCCCAGTGCCAGCTGTGACAGCTCTGCCTGTCTCTGGCTGGTGCCTCTGAGGACATGGCTTAGGATGCATGGCTGTGGTGTAACACAGCCCTGTGCTGACCTCCTGGTCTTGGGAATGAGACACAGGTGCTGGAAGTGGTGATTCATTCCCATTCCCACCGTTCGTGGTGGGAGGACAGTTCGGGATGGCAGTCAAGCCACGTGTTTTTTCCCTGCCTGTAGCACATCAGTGTGCTCTAACAGGCACTGGAACAAACTTTGTTTTAGTAATGGCACTGTCTCAACAGCAGTTCAGCCTGCGGTGCTGACCTTGGCTTTCCTGCTCTGAGTGTTAAACTAACAGTTAAAACAACCCCCTCTAAAAATCCTGGGCCTTTCCCAGTCAAATCCAAAGGACTGCAGTGTTAGTTCACGGTGTGTTTGAGAGGGCACTAATTGCTAATTAATTTATTACAGAATTGGGGTGAGATAAGCCATGTGCCATTTCAAAGCCAGTACGGAGAGAGGAAGGCAGCAGCTCCCTTTAAGCCATGTCAGAATTTCTCCTCTCACGCAGCCTCTTCCATCAACAAGAATATTTGCTTCCTTTCAGGAAAGGTGCTCCTTTTGCTGTGCTGAAAAAATAAAACCTTTCTCAGTCCCTGAATCGTCCCTGGATCAGGCATAAGCTTATTATCTGCCAGCACATTTTCTGCTGAATCAGTCAAAAAATAGTTAATGTTTTTGAACATTCCAGTGAGATGAATGAGGCAATTCATACCTCTGAGCTATTGTTGCAGGGTTTTGTTCTTTGTTTCCTATTGTAAAATGTCTGGAAACACAGGAAGATGACAGTTGTATTGGTTAATATTTTAAAGACTTTCTTCAAATGCTCCAGGGCTAGAAACAATTTGAAAACAAAAGCCAAACTACTTGCACACAGCTCAGGACAAGGGTGTGGTGTTATATTAAGTTACACAAATCATATAATCTTGGACAGCAACCTCTGAGCGAGCGAAACATTAATTTGCTTGACCAAAGCAACAAAAAACCACCCTTCCCTAAAGCGGCATTTTCCTTTCATAGTGTGGTGCTGAGTAATTTCAAGATGTCTGGGTTTTGTTGGGTTTGGTTTTTAGGTTTGTTTGTTTGTTTTTTTTTTTTCCTGAAGCATCTACTGCAGTTAGAAGTAAAAAGCACATGGAAAGCCAGGTCTGGCTTTGTTAACTGGGCAGTGGGACCCAAACTCAAGCACTGGCTCAGGAGGGAATGGCATGGGGTTGGGGCAGCACCGTTTAAGATGTTACTGTTTGGGTTTGGGGTGTTTATTTTTCTTCTGTGGTTTCTTTTATTAAAATCTTATTTTAAAGTCTTTTATTATAATTAAAGATTTTTATAGCGCTTGATTAAAAGGTGCTGGTCCTCCTCGGAGCATCACTGACTGCTTTACTCTGTGCCTTTTTGGTTCTTGCCCACTCTGTTTGCACGACTTGCTACCTCTTCTGTAGTGAACGCATGGTGAGGGGCCGGGAAGCCCACCCTAGGCAGGGCAAGGGCAAGGAAAGCTGCCACACCAGGGTCCCCTCAGGCTCGGGGTGGGGTTGCCGTGCGGGCAGAGGTGGGTTGAGCTCGGCCACGGCTCCCATCGCAGCGGGGGCCGGCACGGCTGGGAATGGCCCCGCAGCGGCCCTCGGTGCTCAGAAGATGCTCGGCTTCCTAATCTCCCCCGCCCAGCCCCGGCTGTTCTATCTTTAACGCTTCCTGTTGGTGAGAGGAGCCGGCTTGAAAATGGTCGTGTTTCCTGGCGGGAGGCACGGCGGGCTCTCCGGCGCGTCGTGACCGCCCCTGCCCCGCCGCCCCACTCACGCTGCCGGGCATCGTGAGGGCTCCTGCCGGCCGGGACACGGGGAGGGGGGAGCTCGGGGAAACCTCTCCCACGGCCGCGTCCAGAGCGGGAGGCTGAGGGGAAGGAGTGAAAGGAAGAATAACAGCTCCGGCATTTCCCCCCTGCGGGAGGGTGTGCAGGTGGCGGGGAGACAATAGCGACCCCCGCACCCCGGCCCCGCCGCCGCCCCCGCCACGCACGGGCAGGTGCGACCGGCCCTCACCGCCGCTTCTCCCCCGAGCCCCGGGCTCCCCTCACGGCCGGGGGCCACCGCCTCGCCCAAACCCCGTAGCAGGGACCGGGAACCGTTCTGGGGGGCGCCCAGCCCGGACCCACTCCTTCCCACACCGCGCCGGGGGAGATTTCGTTGATTTTCGCGTTCCCGCCCAGGCCGATCCCCGAGCTGTCGGAAACTTCTCCCTCTAGGAGCCTTTAGGACCACTTTACCTGTGGGTGTCCGGAGGGAGCGGTCTGGGACCCTATGGTGGTCCCCTTCTTCCCCCCTTTCCATACCAGGAGCCTCTGGCATTTCGAGAAGGGTCCCGCTGCCTTGCGACCCCCACTGCCCAGCTCCCGTCCCCGCCGACCGCTCCGGCTGCACGGCGGCTTTGGGAAGGCCCGGGGGTCCCCATTCACTCGAGCTCGAAGACCCCCGCAGCCAGGACGAGACCCTTCCTCGACGGGGCTCGCAGCCCCGCTGGCTGCCCCGCATTGCTACAGTGAGACCCAGGGCCCTTTCTCGCCTTCCCCAAATCCCTCTCCTTCAGGCTCCTCCGCTCACATCCCAAATTTCTCGAGAGCGAGAGGTGCCGGCTGGTGCTCTGCTCCCGGTCCCCAGCATCACCCAGCCTCGCAAGGATGCTCGGACTCCCCCCACTCCAGCACGGGAGAGGAGATGGGGAGCTTGTCCCAGTTCAGCCCTTTAGCAAAAACACACGGTACGGGGGAGGACGGCTAGGGATGGGGCCACTGTTCTCCAAAACATCTCCCCTATATGTGCTTTATTTACCTCCTCTTGTCCCAAAGCAGCACACACCCCTTCCCCCTCTCTCAGCGCCTCCAACAATTTATTTTGGCTCATTAAATTTAATTAAGAACGGAGTAGGTGTTCCATATTTAATAATAAAAATTAAAAAAAAAAAAAAAAAAAAAGGGAGGGGGTGGTGAAAACAGGGGCATAATAACCTCCAAGAGGACTAAAATAAAGAATCACTATTCAGATGCGGGCAGCCACAGTGCAATTTTTTATTACTTTTTTTTTTTTTTTTTTTTTGCAGTGTCTTTTTAAGAGCATCTAAGCACACACACATAAAAAGCTAGAAGGCATGCATTCCGGAGTTATTCCTATGCATATCCCTGCAATAATTTTCCGCTTTCCTTCGATAAAATTGCCAAATAATAATGAATCATTTCATAAATAATGGGTTTAGAAGCTTATCAGGGCAGGCGGGCCACTGCTGGGGTTTTATCTCTCTCGGCCACATTGCAGTAGTGTTCCGCTCTCCATACTAAATAGGAAACTGGACGTGATGTGGAATTAGAGCCTACCCAGCTGAAGCCACCCAACACTTACTACAAATATAGCCGCGATGCGTAGGCCACAAAATGGCTCCACTCACTTTTCCCAATGAAAAGCAAATGGTGAGTAAAGAGGAATCGGCCCTGCAGCGAGCTGGGCGGTGCAGGGGGCGCGATGGGGTTTTGGGGGACTCCGGAGGGCAGCGAGGGGGCTTTGGGGGGGGCTTCTACCCCATGTGAAAGGCAGGCGAGCAGGGAAAAAAAAAAACACAAAACCTTTTCCGCGGTTGGGTTTTAATCTTTTTTTATTCTTATTCTTTGATGCGGGGTGGGTGAGGAGGAGAACGCGCGTTCCCCTTTGAAACTGTGGGGTGCGATTCCCCCACCGCGCCGGGAACCCCGAGGGCCGACCGTGGGTGCGAAGAGCCCACCGGGCCCGGGTCTCCCAGCTTCTCCCAGAGGAAAAACACCAGGACACGGCATGGCCGACGGCCAGAGTCTGAGCGCTTCCTCCCGGGAGGGGGGTCCCCTCATATCCCCCTCCCTCCAGCCCCTTCGTTTTGGGGCGATTTCCCTACAAACGGCCGGCGGGAGAGGTGCGCTTTTGGGCTGGAAATTTCCTGTCGATCGGCCGCTGGAAAACAAAAGGATTTTGTGGAGCAGAAGCGAGCATGCAGGGAATTATTGCCCCCCCACCTGCATTTCTCCAAACGAAACCACCCCAATTTAAGGCAAAACACTGCAGATACCTTTGCGGGTTTGTGTATTTCGTTTTTAACGAAAGCGGGAGGAGACGCCATCGGGATTACTTTTTTTTTTTTTTTCTTTTTTACGAAGGGGTAAACCTTATTTTTCATGATTTGGTTGGCGGCGGGGGGGGGATTAAACCGGCCTCGCCTTCCTGTTGCTCGGCGGCAGGGAGCGGGCTCACCCCGCCGCCGGCCCGGCCCCGGTTGTCGCGGCTCCTCGGCCGGGAGCGCGCCTGCTAACGGGCCCCTTGAGGAATTTAATTTGCCCCTTTAGGAATTAAATTTTCCAGCCGGACGCGGGAGAAACGCCGCCGCCGCCGCTTCGTGCGGGCCTTTTGGGAGAAAAACAACCCCGTGTCCGGGCCCGTCTGGGATTTACTCCCGGAGAGACTGGGCTTGCAATGTGTCCAAAAAACCGCCCAATTCGCCCCAAATATAGGGCTTTTTTGTTTTGTTTTCACGCCTTTTTTTTTTTTCCCCATTTATTTATTTTTTTTTCCACGCCAGGCCATGCCCGTCGCTCGTTGTGGCCCCTTGTGCGAGGCGGCGGCTCCCGGCGGCGACATGGGGGGACCTGGGGGTGGCCGCTGTCCTCTGTCATAGGGGCCGCCCCGGGGTGCTGTCCCCTCCTTCCCTCTCCCCTGCACCCTTCTCTCTCCACTGATCTTTGGCAATCCGGACCCACGAGATCCACCCTCTCCTCTTTTTCTCCCCCCCCCTTCTCTTCCTCCCAGGATTTAGCAGTTTTATCCCGATGCGGGTGTCCTTCCTCTCTGTAAAGTCGTAAGTACCTTGAGGTGGGAGGAGTAAATTCAGCCTGACACTGAGAGCGCTTTTGTTGAAACAGGAGAGACTTGCGGTGTCCCTACTTAAATATGACACATGTGAGTAATCTCTTCCTATACAATATCGGAATAGGCAATTAGATTTTTCTTTTTTAGAGGGCTGGCGGGGAAGGGGCTGGAGGGAAGGCAGAGAGCTTGTGCTTTTGGTTGGGTGGCTGTTTTGTTGGTTTTGGGGTTTTTTGTTTTTGGTTTGTTTTTTTAATTTATTTTGTAGCGAGATGGTGAGATATGGCCAAAAAATTTGGTTTCTCTCTCAATTCAGCCCATCAAAAACGGGAAAAAAAATTACCCAAGGCAAAGGAGCGAGAAGGATGGGCGGCAGCTCTCTGCTCCGTGAAGCTCCCCATTTATAGGGGGAAAAAAAAATAACCAACTAACCAAACAAACGAACAAAAAATCTAAAAGCGAACGAGTGGATATGTGGAAGGAAAAGCGTGGCGATAATCGCCATATCGCTGCCTGTCCTTGGCGCGAGGTGCCCTGTCGCGACAGCATTCGTTCTATGGGAGAAGGGGGACAATGCTGAGTGCGGCCGCGGCCGGGCCCCTTCCTCCTTCCTGCCGTAGAGAGTGCGCGGGGGGATTGGCTCCGTTAGGGGCTGGTTTAACCCCCTCTCCCCCAAAAAGTGGTTTCGGGTATATTTCACTGTTTTATAAATAATAATAGTAAAAATTAGACATGGGAGAAGAAGAGGCCACCCTTGAGGTTGAAGCCGCTACTGGCAGGCCGGGCTGCGATCGGGCTGGCTCCGCAGGCGGGCAAACACCACCAGGGCCCCCGATATGGGGAGAAATACCCCTCAAAAAAGCAGGGGTGTGCGCTGTGCCTCCTCCGTTATTTGGCCACATGATTTGACTCGGTGCACCGGGCGCTGGCCGAGCCCCTCCGGCTGCACCGGCCGCCCCGACGGTGCCACCGCTCCGCGGGTACCGGGGGATGGGAGGTCGGGCCTGTGGTGCGTCCTGCGGGACCAGGGCGCTGCGGGACGTCAGAAGTGCCGCACCGCTCCGCCAGGCTCCGTGACGTCACGGCAGGGCCGCTCCGTGACGTCACGGCCCCGCACGGCTCCAGTGCGGCGGACCTGGAGACCCTCAGGTGCCGCCGGCAAACTCTAAATGATTTTAGGGTGATTAGTAACACCCCCTTCGCCAGCCAACTCTGAGCCCCGAAGCGGCCACCCCCGTCGGGGCGGTACCTGGGGAGGCGTAACCCCCCCCTCCACAAAGCGGGGCCGCCCCTCACCGCTGCCTCTCTCCGCAGGACGATGGACAGGCCGCCCGCCCCGCCGCCCCCCAGTGACCCCCGCGATGCCCGCCCCCCCCGGCGGCAGGACTCGGAAGCGGAGACCACGAGCGAGCCGGAGAGCAGCCGCGGGGGCATGGAGGCGCCGGCGGACCCCCAGCTGCTGCTCAACGGGGCGTCCAAGGAGGCGGGCCGGCCCTCCCCCGGGCCCCCCGCCGCCCCTGTGCCCGTCATCGAGCTGGTGCGCAGGGGGGGCTCCCTGGACATAAAAGGCCGGGAGGCGGCGGGAGAGGCGATGCAGAGAGCGCCGGGTGCCGAGCCGTGCCGCGCCGCCGAGGCCGCCTGCGAGGCCCGCATGGTGCAGCTGAGTCCCCCCGCGCTCCCGCTGCAGCCCCACGGCAGGGCCATGCTCTACAACCTGGGCCAGCCGCTGGCCACCATCAACAGGTCCGTGTCTCCCCCATCCCATCCCATCCCATCCCATCCCATCCCATCCCCGAGGGGAGCCCCTCTGGAATGCGGTGCCGGGGAGGGAGGTGCGGGGAAGGGAGGGGAGCCGCAGCATCTCTTCCTCCGAGCGGGACTCGGGGCTTAGTCATCGCGGGTTTGCGTGCAACTTTGCAAAGGAAGAAAGGGAAAAGGGCAGAGGGAAGGAAAATTAAAAAAAAAAAAAAAAAAAAAAAAAAAAAAAAAAAAAAAAAAAAAAAAAAAAAAAAAAAAAAAAAAAAAAAAAAAACACCCAAAACCAACCCACAGTAGAAATGTCCCGGGGGGTCTATCAGTAAACGGGCGGGAGCTAGTTTAGCTCCTCGGACTCTCTGTCCTCCGACGAGTGCTTCAAATAAGCGCAAGGCACAGCAAAGGCTCTGGTAGGGGCTGGGCCAGCCCGGGGGTGTGCGGGGACGGACCCGGTGCGGACCAGGCCCGGCTGGACGTGCGCGCCCGCCTGCGGGAGGGCACAACGTTGCGGGGATGCGTGTGGGTTTTGCCCGGAGCCGCCAGCCCGGATGTCCCAAGCTGCCCACATCCCCCTGCCCACGCGGCGTGTCTCCGGGCGGCCGCGTGTAGTGTAGCCTCACGACCCAGGGCTCGGCTTCGTGAGCCGTGAGCTCGCTCCCAGGTCACGGAGCAGCTCCGCTTCCCGCCGGCCCCGAGCCGCCCCCGGACGCTGCCTCCCCTCCTCGGGGGCCGGGCCGGGGGGATGCCGGAGTGTCCTCACGGCCCCTTTGCCTTTCGTTTACAGCGGATTTTTCGGCGAACCGGACTCCTTCTCCATGTACGGCAGCAACCGGGTGAAGCGGAGACCGTCTCCGTACGAGATGGAGATCACCGACGGTGAGAGCATTTCACCCCCGCGAAATTAAACCCCCAAATAACAGATAACAAAAGGACTAAACCCCCAAACCGTGAAACGCGAATAGGATGCCTAGGGAGCCAGGGTGGTAAGGTTCGGGATAGTGGAGCCCACACTGGTCCCCACTAACGTCCATCCGCGTGCTCGGTGGGTTTGACTTCACCCAGCGAAGCAGCGGAGTGTAATGGCTAATTGCACCCCTTAGAGATCAAATCCGAACGAAGACTCTCAATGCAAGTCTTTGTTGAAGTGCAGATCAGGGCCATTGCAGTGAGACGCTGCGTCTGTAAACCCTTTCAGCCAGGAGACATTCGCAGTGCAGACCACAGCCTTGTGCAGAAAGGACAACCTGCCTTAAAACTGCCTGGAAGCAAAGAGCTAACCCTGTGTTGAGGTCCGCAAGGGCGCAATGGGACTGCCTTTTGCATTTTAATTCAGCATACATCTGCACCTTGCTGCTGTCTGCGTTGGAGAAACATCCCGCGGCAGAAAGCGGGAGCGGATACGGCGGGTGACAGCCTGGTGTCTGAGCAGAGATCCCCGGCATGGGCATCCCTGTCGGAGCCGCGGGATAATTTCAGAGAATGGAAGGGAGGGAGAAGGCAGCGCAGGGTCCATTGCCTGCTCCCCGGCAGCCGGCGTGGGGTGCGGGATGCGGCGCGCAGGCGGCAGCACTGCCCACTCAAAGGGGTGTTTGCAAGAAGAATTTACACGTGGGAGGCCAACCAGTTTATCTGCGGAGTTAACGGCCTGTACACATGAGATCCATTGAAATGTGCTCTCTCTTTAGCAATTGTAAACACTGTGTTTCAATTGCTGGACAATTAATTTTGCTTCTTTTTAGCTAGCTGTCCATTCCCTTCCACCCGGCTAATCTAAGATTAAATCGTAATCTGCATCACTCTAAAACAATACACCCCGAAATGACGGGCTCAGGGTATTATCTGCTTTATTCAGTCCCTCTCTCCCCACTCTCTGCTCTCCTGATCCTCTCAGACCGGAGCCCCGTGGGACAAGGGGATGTCACAGCCCCAGCACAAGAAGGGCTTTTTGTCTGGTTTTCATTTTTAGGGCTTAATGGTTACGGTGAAAAGTCCATCAAATCACTTTGTCCGACTAAAGCTTTTGACTTGCTATTTAATTAGGTATTAAGGATTACAGACATACTTGGTTGCAAACAAGTTTTTGGGTATGTTCTTTGATTCAGGTGTAGAGATTGGGCCCGATCCTTCAAGTTCTGGCTCATGAGAATTTCCAAGACTGGGCTCAACACTTTTTTTGGGGAGAAAAATACGCGTCAGACGATGCTGTCTAAACAGGAGCAATTTGTAGGAGTGTACATCCCATGCTGAGGTGTCTGTGTGGTCTAATGGGCTTATTGCTCTGGTGGTCACCTGCCAGGTGACATCTGTGGCACACAGGAACATCACTCCTGAGGGCTCCCAACCCCTGGGAGCTGCAGAAGGGCAGGAAAGTCTTGCCAGGCACTTGGCGTTTGATTTTCTCTGTAAGGAAATGAGTGGAGTTTTTTTTTTACAACTATTCCTTTATATATTTTGTGGAAAGTTTGGTGCATTTAACATCTTCTTTAAAAATAGCTTTAAATGGAGCTAAAAACGTGGAAAAGTATCTGCAAAAAAGTATATCCTGGAACTTTGGAAGCTCATCTTTTTATTAGTTTTCCTTAGATCTCTAATTACAATTTTAAAAGCATCAGTCAATCAATTGGAACAAAATCCAGGCAAAAATTCTCATCTGACTGCTTGAATTAATTATGAGGCAAATTTCTTTATAAGAAATAGATCTTCTATTATAACACAGCTATGGGGCATTTTAATTTTCTCCGTTGCTTGACATGTTTTGGCCCAAACCCGACCTCTTTCTAAAAGATAGTGTTAATTCAGTTGACGCAGGAATGAAGAATCTGAGTGGTATCAGAATTTGTGTTATACACTGGAGCATGGTTTGGGTGCCCCTGGATGAAAATGAACAAGTCCTTTTTTTTTTTTTTTTTTTTTTTTTTTTTTTTAATTTCTGGCCTATTTACGAATAGATGCCTTTTAGCTGTCAACTTCCAGTGAACACAGACACATGTTTGAAGCCTGTGAAGACTGGAAGTCTCTTGAGGTGCTTTTTGGGTCTTGTTTTGTTTTTTAATGGACAATATCCAATGTGGTTTGTTTTTTTTTTTTTCCTCATAACCTTATGGGAGTAAAGGGGTTTTAAGCTGCATCTTTTTCTGCAGCTTAAGGCTGGTTTCTTTGTCTTTTCTGGAAAGACCATTAAAGTGTTAAAACTATTATATTATTGTAGTAGGTTATGACACATTCTTCATTGCCTTCTTAGTAGTGCTACTGAGGTCCCCTTGGTCCTCACCACAACCCTACAGAGCAGACTGTGCACATCAGGGACAAGAAATCTTCCCTTTCTACGAGCTCTTGCAAATTAATTCATACAAAGGGCATTATGTGCTGTTTGGGGGTCAATATTGCCTTCATTAAAGAATCAGACTTGGAGTCAGAGAGGCATTTCTCATTTCTACATCACTCAGCTTTTCACGTGGGCTCTTTGTGATTTTGGGGGGGGGGGGGGCTCCCTGCTCCTGAACATGCTGTGAGGAGAAGTGGCTGCTCACACTCTGGAGAGGCTGGCAGCTCTAACCTGCCTGCTTGGGAGTGTGTCAGCTTACAAACCCTGCAGTGCAGGACGTTCTGTGTGGTGTGCTGGACTGAAGGCACTCAGTTCCCCCTGAAATGTGTGATGGTGTTTAATCAGCTGGAATGTGGGATTCCTCTTTTTGTGTTGAGGAAGGTGGAATTTGTCGAGGTGCAGCCTGACTAGCACGTTTCCAAAGTCGCATTTGTTCAGCTGTTCTGTCACAGTCGAGGCAGCCAAGAGTTTTGCTAGACAAGAATAATGATGTTTAAATGTCCCACGGGGTGCTGTTTTCGCAGGGTGATGGCAGAGCTGTGGCTCAAACTGTTTACCACAGCCAGGGACTTGCTCCCTCCAGGAGGGAGTAATTGGGCAAGTGCCTCAATGTGGGGAACACAAGGGAGAGAGGATGAGGATGGGGATTCTACAGTTTTTTTGGGGTACAGCTCACTGATATGTTACCTGCAAGTCTTTTGCTTCACTCCTTCTGATGATTTTCATTTTATGTGATGCTTCCCACCCTTTGGGAGCTTCTGCCATGGTCACTCTCCCAGATTTCAATGAGATCGATGTGACCTTCCACTGTTGATGTCTCCTGGAGATGAGGATGGAAAGGATGTAACAGTAAAAGCATCTTATGGTAGTGTCCCCTTAAGCGAGTTGGTTTCCATGGACCCAAGGACCTGCAATGCTGATTTACAGAGCTGCTGCTCCTGTAGCACAGTACTTCTGGGAAGACGTGCTTTTGGGTCTCTTCTAGCACAGAAGGAATGTTTTTCTCATGGCAACATGAGTTACCCTGGTGATCTGAGAGGAGAATTGGTGTGTTTTGTGTGTCCACCCTGTGTAACATGCCCTGCCAGAAATATGGCTGTAAAATTTCAGGGATTTAATTGGAGTTTACATGTAACTAAGCAATTCTTTCACTTCTCCAGTTAGTGTCAGAGGGAGTTTTTGCCTTGGGGTACTGATATGGAGAGAGACCAGGAGGCCCTCAGTTCAGCTGTGAAACTGTTTCATCCTCCACTGATGATCACCCTTCCAGCAAGGACACTGCCTTCACTCTGTGGGCCACATTGCTACCTGTCCTAATTGCTGTGGGGTGAATCCCACCACCCTGTTTCATACAAAATACCCACGGGACTGGTGGCAACCTGGTGGTCTCTACCAGCACTGGATCCTGCCTGCAGCAGGGAAGGTCTCTGGATTTTAGAGTTGTCAAAGCCTCTGCTCAAGCCAATTTCCTCCCATCTCAATTGTGTGTCCTTTAGACACTTCTGGGATAGAAAATAAAACTATCCAGTGAGATCAACTTTTAATAGGACCTTCGTTGCTGAGTTCCCCTTGTTGATGAGCTGAGATACCCTAAAGGCATAGCAGCCTTCTGCACACACGCCATGGCTTAAGCCTTCCTCCTTGGAGAGGTAAATTTAGACATCTGAGGAGACACTCAAAGAGGTGCAACTCCATTTTCCCCTTCCACTGGATTGAACAGAAGTTATGGCTATCTCAGCTCGTCATATCAGCTTCCAGTTAGCTGGAAACTCGTTTCACCGCCTTGCTGATGTCAGTCACCAGAATAAGTCAGTTGGTCAGTTTGGGAAACAGGGACCTATTGAGCAAAGCACACCTGACCTGTTATTCCCCGCTCCTAACTCTGTCTGGTTGGAATTCCAGGTCCTCACACGAAAGTGGTCCGCCGCATTTTTACCAACAGCCGGGAGAGGTGGAGACAGCAGAACGTCAACGGGGCCTTCGCAGAGCTCCGCAAGCTCATCCCCACCCACCCTCCTGACAAAAAACTGAGCAAGAACGAGATCTTGCGCCTGGCTATGAAGTACATCAACTTCCTGGCCAAGCTGCTCAACGACCAGGAGGAGGAAGGAAACCAAAGGGGCAAAGCGAACAAAGACTCTGGGATAGTCCAGGAAGACCTCCTGCAGGACATGTTGTCTCCTAACTCTAGCTGTGGAAGCTCCTTGGACGGGGCGGCGAGCCCGGACAGCTTCACGGAAGAGCACGAAGCGCTGGACTCGAAGCACACGCGGAGCCTGCACCACGCCATCCTCCCTGTAGAAGGCAATGCGCAGCGGTGATGACCTTGGCACTGCTCCCGAAGCACCGAGGGGGTTGGGGGGGAGAGGCAAGACCCGAGCGTGAGGATGCCGGAACTTGTGCTCGTTGGGATCTGTGACTCTGCCTTTCCCCTGGGGAGCTCGGGCTCCCCACTCTCCCCCAGCCCGGCGTGTTGGCTGAGGACGAGGCCAACCCGGACGGACGCTCAGTAAATAGGTACGTGATCGTACAAAGAAGAAAAGCATTGAAGTCGTCTTCATTGTACATACTGCTCGTGACGTGACCCTGAGGAGGGGGAGGAGACGTGGCCAGCGCCTCTCCAGCATTTAGAGGGCTTTCAGACCACGTGATGACCACCGCTTTTTAAACAGTCGCCTGGTTGAGGCGTGAAACTCCTCTTTCACTGCTGGCAGAGGCCACTGACGCTTTCCTGCTCCACGTGGTGCTGGAGACTGCTGCATCATGCCAGTGCAGCACTTCTCCAGCCTGTGGCACACACAGCTGGTCTGAACAGGAGCTGGGGCCTCATGTTCCTGTTGTCCGAGAGCTTTTGACTGTATCTTTTTAAAGAGGTGCAAAAATACCCTCAGCAAAAGAACTATTAAAAGGATTAAGACTATTTCTTTCTCTCTTCTTTTTTTCTTTCTTTTTTTTTTTTTTTTTCTTCCCCTTTCTTCCTTTCCCTTCTACCTAACTTTGGATTGTTTGGGGTTGTAGTATTTATGATGTGGGATTACTTCTGTTTAACACTGTCATGCAGTATCCATTGAAAGAAAAGGTACATAGGTGTTTTCTGCCACCCTCCCAGTCCCTAATTCTTCTGCTGGTAACACTCAGCAGGTGAGCTCCAAGCCTGTTGTGGTCTACTAGAGTTTTCCCATTGGTTTCTGTAGGGCCAGAGTTTCTTTAAAGAAAGATGAATTTCAGATTCGGTAAGGGAAAAAAAAATACTTGCTAGTGGAGTATCTCCTTGGACTGGAGGATTTTTATTATCAAAAAGCGACAAGAAGGCAAAAGGAGTCAATGATGTATCAACAGCGTGCGTGTACATAGGGTTATAAAAGGGGTTTAATGGTATGCTTTGAAGTTTTTGATTTTATTGTGTGAAAATGGTGGTGGTTCAGCTGTGCCAGTGCCCACAGTATGGACCACAATGCTGGATTTATTCCAGCACTAGAGAGGTCCTTGCCTGACGAGACTGGTAGGAGCTCACAGCCTCTGAGCCTTGTGGGGGAAGCCCTAAAACTAGTGGTGGGATTAGCCTCCATTCCCAAGTGCTCAGATTGCTGCAAAGTTGATATCTGTGACTGAGATGGTCCTCTGATCCCTGCTGCCTGCCCAGGAGGGTGTTTGGGAAACAGGAGAGCAAGAGGCTGCTGCTGTGGGGGCTGGGAGATGAGGACCACACTGTGCTGTCACCGCTGCATCAGTCCCGTCATTTCCCACCCACCCATTGCCTGTTGGGGCAATTGCCCCAAGTCCATCCTCTCTTCCTGCAGAGATGTCAAGGCACAGAAATCTCTACCATGCTACAGTAAAAAAAAACCTAAAAAACCACACACAAACATCCTTTGGAAGGGGGGACACCTTCCACCTCACTTGTTTCTTCCCAAGGATGCTGAGGTACAAGGGAACACAGAGAATTTGAGAGGGTGTCTGCAAGCCCATCCAGGCTTGATTCAGAGCTCTCTTATTTCCATCCCTGCCTGGTTTTGATGCCTCTTTGTAAATAATAGTAAAGAGTCCGGCGTGTGGCTTGGCACGTTAGGTGGAATTAGTTGCCTGAGAAGGGATCCTGGCCCATGTAAGGATTTCCAAGACCCCCAGTCTTGGAAAGCACCAATCTCCCCCATCTTAAAAAGGGGAAAAGGAGGAAAACTCCTCCCTGGGTCTGGATTGCTCATGCTTGGGAGTTTTTACTAGAAGGGCTTACCCTCAGGGCTGTGCCAGGGAAGAGGAGCTGGCAGGTGCCAAAGGGACACCGAGGAAGAGGTTTGGGCTGGTACTGGTGCCAGGGGTAGGAAAGGCAAGCAGTTAAGGGCTGCCTGGGGACCCTCTGAGAAGGGAGGGGGTTGCTGTCACACAGGTAAAGCCATTCTTGGTTTTAAAAATAACCCTCTACAACCTTTTTATTGAACTGTTGCAAGAAAAAAAAAATCACCAACATTCAGAAATTCCTCGTTCCACACAAATTTATTTTTTGTTTAAATCTTTGTGGTAGCTGAATAGTTGGGAAAATGGTACAACCTTGGCAGCACCCTCAAATGCCCCCCCCCACCACGTGCCTGCTCGTAGCCCTTGGCAGAGCACACTGTAAGGTCTCCTGGGGTATGTACAGTTGTACTTAATTGTGATTTGAATGGTACATTTCTTCTGCCCACCTCTCCTCCTCTCTGCTTCATCTCTCGCTGTGTGGACCATCATCCCCTGTTTCTGTTGGGAGCAGCGCTCTGGGGCAATGTTGTACCGTGTGAGTGAATTCCTGCCTTATGATTTTGGGTTTTTTTTTTCAACCCTCTCCCTTTCTCTGCCGCCCTCCCTTCAGATTTCTGCATTTTTTCTGCAGAAATGAAGTAACCAGACCTGGTACCCTGAGTCTCAACCCACTGTGGATGTGCTATTTAGAAAACACATTTGTTGTAATGTGTGTGTATATATAAATATATATATATAATGAATATATCAAGAATATTTCTAAATAAAGTTTTACAAAGCAGCCTCCACTTGCTGTCTGCCTCTGTGCCACCTCATCGCTCGAACCCTTCATTACTTTGGTATTTCACCGTGGGATGAAGATGCCAGAGTGGCCCATTCCCAGCCACCCAAAGACATAACCAGGCAGCAAAAACCTTGCAAAAGGATCTCCTAATATTTTTTTTTTTCCCCTTGTTTGACTCACACAGTCCAGCCTGGGCTGGGCTTCTGCAGAGAGAGCAGGCGGGAGGAAGAGCGCTCGGGGCCGGCAGGAAGGAAGGCGGGCGATGAAGCAATGCGAGCGTTACCAGCCTCCTTACACTTCCCGGCACGTTATTTGCAGGTCCCCCAAAAGGCTCCAAGGGCCTTTTCCCTCCTTTTGGCGAGGGTGACTGTGCAAGGAAGGGGCTGCTGGGAGGAGGGGGGGCCGTGCAACTTCCCTTGACAATTCAGCTATGATTTAATAGGCAGTGACAGTAATTCCTCTTTTTTTTTATTATTTTTTTTTAAGTTATCACAGCCATGTGCACAAATGCTTTTTCAAAAAATACAGCATTAATTAGGGAGTGTTTACAGGCTAAGTGGTCCATTGACTATGTGTATGTTAATATATATAAATTATATTAGATATATAATATTAATTTATATATACTATATATTTTTATATATATACACACAATGCCATGCTGCTGTTGGCGGTCAGCATCATACCAATAGCACAGAGCAGATGAACAGGAATGGTGACTCAAGTATTTTTTTTGTCCTTAATTTCTATGAATTTCAGAGCCATCACCTATCTAAACAGAGCCTTTTAGAGCATCCTTGGCTTTTTTAAAGCACCCCCCTCAAAAGTTTAGCTGCTAAAGCCTCCTCCACAGCAGACTAGCAGCCAATGCTTGCTTTTGAAAGTTCTGGGTGACATTTCTGCCTGTGTGAAAGAGGGGACCCCATTTCAACCTCCAACCTGGGGGTGCAGTGAGCCCTGTCCAGGCACAGTCCCAGATTAGGGACATGGGGCCCCCCTTGACAGCCAGGCTGAGCAAAGTCCCTGTAGCCAGGACTGGGCTGGTTTCATCCTAGGCACGGGGTAGGTGTGGGGCAGTGTGTGGCTGCTGGCTGTTTATCTGGAGCTGGGAGATCAGGGCTGCACAGCTGCTTTAACCCATCTCATCCTGCTGCCAGCCCAGCATGAGCTGATAGCTCACCCACTGGTTATCTCTGCCTCCCACCTCCTGGTTCTCTCCCTCCCTCCTTCCATCGCCAGGACAATTCTTCTTCCACCTCCTCCTTCCACTTTTTTGCTCCTTTCAGTTAAAAGGTCCTTCATGGCCACATGGCTTTTGCAGCCAGTAAAAGGAAAAACACCCTCAAGGTGAAGGTTTCAAACCACTCTGGGCACATACATAGGCTCTATAACCAAAGGAAAGGGCTGAGAGATTACCAATGCCACCTGTTCCCTGGTGGGATGGCCAATGTGCATCACTCCTGATTGACCCTGGCAGTGGGGAGACAGAAAAGAAAGTTGGGAAAAGCACCTTGGAGTCCTGGTTTCCATGGCACTGAAGGGATCAGCACAGCAGGAGGGTGCTGTGTGTGGCCTTGCCCTTGGCATTGCCACCATCTCTCACTGGTGGCACCACAAGGTGATGGGGGTTCTGGTCTGCGGTGCGGGAAACTTTTTGGCAAATTGTTGTTTTCTTCACAAACTGGAAACAGGTGTGTTTAAGGGTATTTTTTGTTTGCCCTTGTTTCTAATGTGTCCCAGGAACCTGGTGGCAGGTTCTCAGAGGCAGAAAATTTCCCTTTTCATTGCACGGGTGACGCTGGGGAGTGAGAACACAGAGGAAGTGACTTCAGGATAAAATTGAAATAAATAAAAGAGAAGGTGCAAGGCATGTGCAAGAAACAAACAAAAAAAAACCCCATAACCAACCAAAATTTGGGCAGCTTTTATTTTCAAACCTCACTGTCTGTTTTTAATTACAGCCTTTCTGGCAAAGACATGCTGAGGGCAGCCTGCACTGGCTGCCCTGCCTGGGAACACCGCTGAAACCAGGAGCAAGGACCTGCTTCATTAAGGGCATTCCCACATGATTGAATTAAATATGCTCACAGGAACCACAGGACCCAAACGTTCCCACCCTGGCAACCCATGAGAAAGCTTCTCCTCTTCGCTACGACAGGCCAGTGACAACAGGAGGGAGTAATTTATGGCTCTCTGGGACTGCTCGATATGCTCTTCATCCCTGACATTCCCACCGCCGCACAAAGGCTGCAGCCGGCCAGTGGTGCCCAGGGGACACCGCGTTGTCACACACAGCAAGGAGATGAGCAGCAAGCAGGATCCCCTCTCTCCTACCTCTCCTTTCACATTTATTCTCACTCTCTCTTTTTTTTTTTTTTTTCTTTTTTTTTCAGTTTCCATCCCAAAATTGGTCCTGGGATGCGGGGGGAGCCCCACAGCTCATCAGGGCTGGGGGTGAGTGGGGGAGAATGGGGATGCTCTGAGGCTGCAGGGGCTCAGGAGGACGGACCTGCACCGCTGACGGAGGGTCCAGCAGGCACCTTCAGACTTGTCCCCCCGGGTAGACATTCATTTTCCCCTGATCTTGAAGCTATTCTCAGCCGCCCCAGTGACCTTTCCGGGGAACAATTTACTATTGTGTTTTGGTAAAGCCCAGCCTCTATTTTTGCACTCTGTTTTGCTGATGCGGGCACAGGGAGCGAGACGGGAATCCAGCAGGAAATGGGAGGGAGCGTCTGGATCACGGTTAAGGCTGCCCCGGGTCTTTGATGTGCCGGGGCCGAACCCGTCCGGCAGCACGTGGCTGGGCAGGGGGCTTTGCTCCCCTCCCATCCCTCCGGTAAATCCTGTAGGGCACCATCTTAATCTGACCCTGCCAAGGTGGGAATGGGTCCTGCAGC